GGACTGTGGCTAAGTGCTTCAATTACCTCGGCCCTCCTCGCAGCCCTTGTTAGAAGAGACAGGTCCAGGGGCCAAAGGGGAACAATTAAGGCGAGGCAGAGCCCGCAGTTTGCAGGGGGATGCCGGGGCCGTGCCGGCTCTCACTCAGGAGCCAGAGCTGTAATCATACCCCAGCTTCCTGCTGGGCTACACAGAGACAAATTAATGGGAGATAGATTGCTACCTGCAGCCCATCAGTAACCAGGGAGGCAGGAGGCAATGCAGCTCTACAAGGGAGCCATAACCTGAATTTTCCTCTGCTCTCAGCCCCCTTTTAGGGCAGAGAGACCTGAGCACTAACACCTGCCTGCATTGGGGTACCCCACAGCCCCAAACAGAATCACAGAGCCCAGCCTGAGCTTTGTTTGCTGAAGTTAATTCTGGCTGCCCCAAGGAGCCCCACAGTCCAGAGGTGCTGGAGACCAAAGTGTTCCCCAGTAAGAAATAGCTTGGACTCGACCTTGAAGGTCTTTTCCAACCCTAATGATTCTGTAAGAAACCAACCTGAGCTGCTGGGAGATTCTGTATGGACACTTCTGTCACAGGACAAATCCTTCCCAGCATGAAGACACAAGTAAAGAATATAAAAGTGGTGCCCCTGTAGCTGTCTCCCCTGGGGACTGAAGGCCCCAAAGACAGATCCTGACTGTGCAGCAAAAGCACATCTTAGGTATAAGGACAGCAACAAGAACTAAATCCCCCTGTAACCTCATTAACCTTTCAATGAAGGGTTAAAGTTCCAGCGTAGGCAGTGGTGCAGCAGCGCAATTTTAATGTCACAGGCACGGACAAATTCCATTCTGTGATGGATCTGTTGCATGAGCAGCTGTGCAGGGCCAGCCCTGCTGCCTGGAAGCTGCCACTGGGATTGGAGCAGTGCTCTGGGCAGAGCCCCCAGAGCCACTGCCTGCACCCATCCTCTGCTCCCTGCTCCAGCCCATCCCGAGCAGCAGCAGGAAAAGCCCTGCCCTGGCTGCAGAGCCACACACAAACCCCACGGGCTGAGCTCTGCACTGAAATATTTACGTGCTTTTGAATTATACAGGAAAAGAAAAAAAGCACTCGCAAGTCAAGTTTTTACCCTTTTGCCACAGAACTTAGCAATCAAATTGATTGCACCTTTCAAGCTGGTGTAACCCCCCTTCCTGAGCAAAGTCCTTTGCATCCACTTTAGCCAAGCACCTTTTTTTGCAGCTGATATATAAACCTTTGAAAATAAGTTTGAGGGGAGACTGACAACCTTGAAACCTCAAGAGCAGCATGGCATTGACGGGCGCGGCTCCCTGAGCTCAGTATTATAGATAGATTTTAATTTTATTTTAACAAAATAGCTGTCTCCAGTGGAAGAAGCATCAAGAGCTAAATGAGGACCCGTCTTGAGCTGAATCACGTTGAACAGACCTCGGCACTGTCATTGATTTTCTGGGAAGAAAAAAAATGCCTCTGGCTACTAAACCAAATTAGTAGTCACTGATGACCAATTATTTTGCCCCACTGTGAACGGGGAGGCGTACTAAAATTCCAGTTTGTCAGACCCAAGGCTCTCTTCTCAAACGCCTTTCAACAAGCGTGTACCAAAAATCTCTCAGATGGTTCTGATGCCTTCCTGTTTTCGGCAACTTCTCCTTCTCCAAAGTTTTAATGAGCTGCTGCTCTGAGGACAGCCTGCCACAAAGTGAGCCCTTCCCTGCACGCTGGAGCACTATTTGGCATTGGCACAAATCACAGCTGTCAGGATTTATACACACATACACAAAAAAAGTGTCAGCCTAATGTTTGCAAATTATAATTACCATTTCTCTTGCATGTCCCTGGTGCCTTCATTTTAGATAAATCCCAGCTCTGAGGTATCAGCTGCAAAGCACTGAAGGCTCATATTGAATGGAATAGATTTAACTAGTTTGTAGCTCATTTAAGGCCTACACTGTTTTATTTTAATATTGTTAATACTTTATTATACTTTTTAACACTGTTTTCACAGTAAAATAGCCTATTAGGAGGCTGCAGCTTCTTTTCCAGGGGATGTCTGGCAGACTAGAATTCCACATTGTATAACCAAGTTAGCAGGTGCTTGTCATTTCACTTGAAAATAGGTCTGTACCCTGACTCTTGAAAGTAAATTAGAGAGATTCTATTAAAGAGACAGGAACTGTTTCAGGGATAATAGTTTTGAAAATGTGCACAGATAAATTTTAAAATATTTAGGAAATGTCAGCATTAGAAGTGACTCCAACTATTTGACTATAAAAGGAAGCAGATGAGTATTTTTTCCCCCTACAATTATAAATAATTTGTTACATCCTATCAGAACTTCTTTGCCTTTCCTTTCTGTGGCAGGGTGCTTGTGCCAAAACAAGGAGATCTGAGTTACTGTGACTGAGATGGGTTTTAATGTGCAATAAGCATTTCCAGAGGATGCTTCCCCTGCTCTCCCTGCAGCAACAGCAAAATCCTCCCTGTTCAGCAGCAACATCTGGGCAGGGTGACAAAAGGAAAGGGAACACACCAGCCATTGATCCCTGTCCTTAAGTAACACCAAGGCAAAAGGACATTTTCCCAAAGGCCAGCTGCAAGCGAGGGCTGTCACACTGCCAAGCAGCGCCGATGCCGGGGCCAAATTCCCCATCCCTCTGCTGAGATCAGGCTTTGACCTCCAGAGGAAAAGCCACCTCGCTGAGATCTCTGCAGTCACCTTAAAGAGGTGTTCCCTGATGTCCCCTGCTCTCTCAGAGCCTCTCTCAAAGGAGGAAAAGCCAGAGGAAGCCTCAGAGCCCCAGCAGGGCTTGCGTGGAGCAGACGAGTTGTTCCCACTGATTTGAGAGAGGCAGTTCATGCGTGCATCGTTCCAGGCATGACTCTATACTTTGCTGGATCAGGACTTAAATGTGATTAATCACACGGCAGGGAAGGATCTCTGAAGAGCATCAGCCCAAATGTGTCCTTTCGAGCATTTACTTACAAGCCAGCTGTGGACTATCAGTCACCAACTGGCTGGTCCACTGGAGATGGTAAAAGTCACCTCCATAGAGATGGGAAAATACATTCAACTTCAAAAAAAACCCCCAAAAATCAATAATCAAAGACTACACACAAAGGCTTAGTGCTTTCCTGCATCCCTGCCTGCTATTCCTGCACAAGGAAGGGTCCTGCCTTGGAGAGCAAAGGGACAGCAGCAAACAAGCAATGCTCACCACGTGCTGGTGCCAGGAATACCAACATTTACACCACACTACAAGACTGGAGACCCAAACAGATAATAACACACTTTACCACACCTTTTAACCTTTTAAATATTTTGCCCAGCTGTGATCAGCATGAAATGCCAAACTGGAAGGGAAGGAGGGGAAAGAAGAGGGGACAAAGGGTAAATGTCAGCGTTGCCTTTGGCACTGGGTGTCTCCAGATAACGATCTGGAGCAGCAGAGCTGATTTGCAAGCAAAGGCTTGAAAAGCCCTGCAGCATGTGATCTATGAAACAGGAGGCCTGCAGAAGGATGTCTCCTCTGATATGAATGTCCCCTTGGGATGGATATTGCTGGATTGCACATCCAGCATCATTAGAAAACACAACCATAGATTAGGCTGTTTTGAAGCATGTGGTGTGCAATAATTAAGTAATAAAAGTCACCACGGGGGTGAAGGAACAAGAAACAGAAGAGTTACTATTTGCATACAGGCTGCTGGCGCCCTCAGTGATCATCAAGGATTCTCCAGGCTGCTAAAAGCTGGCAGCTGTCAATTCTGGACCCACTCCTGCCAGAAGCCAGGGAGCACCAGCTCACTCTGTGGCTTGTGGGCTCTTTGCAGAAACAGGTGGAGCTGGTGGCCCAGCAGCTCCCCCAAGTCCCCAGTGTCCTGCAGTTGGTCTGGATAGGCAGGGAAAGCCCTGGCTCTGCTGTGGGAGCTGCAGCTGAGGGCTCTGCAGGCTACAGTAGGGAGCAGAGCTAGAGGTGAGAGCTCCACAATCATCAGCTGCTGCCAAGATGGGAAAAGTCCCTCCTTAGCAAGGTGTGCAAGGACAAGGACCAAGAAAACTTGAGCTTGAGGTCCTTCATCACCTTCAAGTGTTTGCTTCTGGGGGAAAGGAAGGCAGCAGGACCATGGGAATTACTGATTTGCTGTCTCTGCCACTGCCAGGTCTGCCTGCCTTGGTGGCTGATGAACTATCCTCACTTGCAAGGTGCAAGGCTCAGCAATTTCAGGCTGCAGCTTTGCCACAAGCTGATCAGGTTAATGCCACCTCAGAGCAGCTGAATGGGACACTGGCCAACAAGCAACTGCCATTTTAGACTTTTTCTAGAATCAGGGTCATGGGGAGCTCCTCCCCTCTGCTGTCTCCTCCTTGCTCCCTGAAATCCTCTTCCAAGGGAGCTGAGGCACCAGACCAGGGCTCAGCATTCCAGCTCCCCTTTCTGCTGCAGACACCTGCCCATCTGCATTGGGTCCATTTTTAGCCCTACTCAGACTGCTTAGGACAGCACTTACTCCTCCACCCCATCCATCATTGCACATTTGCAGCCTTTGGTGCATCACCAGAGAGATTTCAATGGCAAAAGCAGTGCTGCTTTAGCAAAACACACTTGGCACCCAGGGGTTCTTGCCCTGGAGGGAATCCAGCCAGAACTGCTCTCCTGAAGCTCTAGCAGGGCCCAAAGTTGAGCTGCAGCCTGTGGTGCCCCGTGGTCCTTCCAGGGCTCAGACAGAGCTGCTGAAACCTGCCCTGTAAAAGGTTGTGCAATTGTTTCAGTCCTGGGGAATGCCCTGGCACAGTTACCACAGGTGTGTGCAGGCTCTGGTGTGTTCACTGCAAATCATTGTGGGTTTGAGGTTTCCTGAGGAGGAGAAATCCTTTCCCAGTGCAAGGCTTCATTCATGCTCTCACCAGTCACTTTCCAGGAGCAGAAATGTGAGCCAGCACAAGGAGACAAAGATTAAATTGGTGTCTTCTCAATGTTTTCCAGGCCTTCCACTCCCCTTTTTGACATCATGCAACACAGATACAAGGAGCTGTGGATGGAGGAGCAGAGAGCCCGGACTAGAGTCCAGCACATGGTGAAGAAAAAGGTGGGAATAGTCCAGGAATGCTTTCCCCTGATGTGCACAGCACCACTGGGCACAACCCCTCACTGTCCTACCCCCCAAGGGACAAATGGGCTGCTCCCAGCCCTGGGAAGGGCTCTCAACTGGGAAAACACCCCCTGACTACTAAAAGGCTGATGAAGCCTAACAAAGATGAGCATCCCCCTGCCAGGCTGTCCTTCGGACATCAGCTCTGCTCAGGTGACCTGTGACAGTGGCCACAAGAAAGGAACGAGCAGCAAATGCTGAAAGGACAGCCCCAGCCCTGAGCCTGGCATGGTGAGGTTGATGCAGCACCCACAGCAGCTGTTGGAGTGTAAGGCTGTGCTGTTAAACAAACCAGCATTGTAATATCATTTAAAAGCAGCCAATGACTGTTTTATTAGTTAATGGCTCAAAGAAGAGTCGGGCTAATATGGTAATGACCAATTTCAATGGGCTTACTGCCATCACAAACTGTGCTTTATAGCTGAAGTGCAGGAATACAGTGTCCTTAATTAGCAGCTATTTTATCAATACACCAGCCTGGGACGTTGGAAAGTGCATTCCTACTTTATCTATTAATGACTAATGTTTTTAATCACTAAGTTGCCTCCATCAGGCTCCCAAAGCCTGCAGATACCAATTACTGAGTTAAGCAACCCAAACCTGTATCCCAGACCACAGAGCAGACAGATTCTCAGGGTATCCAGGTACCTGCACTGGCTTGTGCTGGGATTATTGAGCACTGTGGCCTGCAATTAATCAGGAGAGCCAGGAAACCCCACCATGGTGGGGGTGCTGGAAGTGCCTTTCCCAGTTCGGGATGAGCCACTCCTGTAGCTCAGGGCACAGGGATGCAGTGGGCAGCAGTCACCTCCCTGGGATGCTCTATAAACTGAGACTGACAGCTGCTCGTGTGTTTTAGCTATCAGCATTGGCTGCATGGACATGGAAACCTCCCCAGATCATGGAATTGTGATCATCACCCCAAAGCAGCTTCTGGCCTGTCCATCCCAGTGTCACTGCATTGTTTGACACAGAGATGGTGTGCATGGCTGTGCAGCAGTTTGAGCCCTGGTGTTTCTCTTTGGCTGCAGTCAAGAGAAGTGCAGCTTCGTGCTTTCCCTTTTGTTTCATCCATGGCCGTGGTTGGGTTCCTGCCCCAGCCGCAGCTCTCAAACCTTCAAATTCTCTTTCTCCTTTTTCTTCTTCTCCCTTTCTCTTCCTTCCCAGAAGTGGCATCCAGAGAGGAGGGATAGCTCACTTTGCACATCTTCTGCAGATTGTCCACACTCCTCCTTTCTCATTGCCCTACCCTGGAAGGTTTGTCTTTCCTCACTTCCTCAGCCCTGGTGTTTCTCTTTGGCTGCAGACAAGAGGAGTGCAGCAATTTGAGCCCACTCTTGTTCACCTTTGGTTGCAGACAAGAGAAGTGAGCCCTGGTGTTTCTCTTTGGCTGCAGACAAGAGGAGTGCAGCAGTGTGAGCCCTGGTGTTTCTCTTTGGTTGCCACAAGAGGAGTGCAGCAGTGTGAGCCCTGGTGTTTCTCTGTGGTTGCCACAAGAGGAGTGCAGCAGTGTGAGCCCTGGTGTTTCTCTTTGCTGCAGGTCGGCGAGGTGCGCGAGAACCGCACCACGTTCCTGCGCACGCACCCGCTGCCCGTGAAGGAGGAGTCCTTCTGGCACCCCCGGCGCTACGAGAAGGTACAGGCCCCCACAGCCCATCCCCTGACCAAAACCAACTTTTCTGGGCCTCTACAAGCACACCTGACAAATCAGGGACACTCTCTAACCTTGCTCATGTGTCCCAATCACATCCTTAGCACACAATGAATGAGGTTCTTAACTCAGAGCTCCCCATGACCCAGACCTTAAAATGGTCCCAAATATGTTCAACCTTTTGAGCATCAGGGTGGGATGTTTTTTGCCAGCCATAAGCCCTGGAAGAGAGGCAGCAGTCATCCTGACAATAACATAATTTTTAATATCACAATTTTTCTGTCACAAGCTTCCTGAGATGGGAAACATCTTTTTGTATCTCACTGTGAGTACAGGGGTGGCCTTTGCTCTACAAGTGCCCCACACAAGCAGGACAGTCACACCTGCATTCTGGGACCCATCAGTTCTCCCCACAAACCACACCAGATGTTTCAAGAAGCTTTTCCACCCCAGGATTAGAGCTTTCCAGGAAGCTTGCACTCTTGATACCTCTCTAAACCACCTGATTGACAATATTCACCCTGAGACAAAGCAAAGGATCTGGCCAGGTTAGAGATGTCCTTGACACTTCCTTTAATTGATCCAAATAAGAGCCAAGGTGAAGATTTCTTGTTCTAGTGATGGGACCTAAACATCTCCCTGAATTCATCTGTGCAACCTGCTGTGCTCTGGGATACTTGTTAGAATTCCATTAGCTTTGTTTGTGGTGTAAATTATATGAAAACTTCCCATGAAGAGCTAGGGGGGATTTTAGGAGAGAAGGGGAAAGAGCTGGACCAGTGGAATGGAAAGGAGACACCAGAAAGTGAAAGCACCGAAACCCTGCAGGGAGGTTTTTTTGCAGGGCCCAAAATCATATTTGGCATTGATAGATACCACTGCAAAAAGCTCTCAGCTCTCTGTCCTGGCCCTTCTTCTGGTGGGGTTATTTTTTTTGCCACGCTGTTGATTTCTAACTGCAGTTTAAACAGCGAAGAAGCCCTGTGGTTTCCTGAAGGTAATTTACTTGTACAAGTTGGAGAGTTTTGCCCAAGAAATGTGCTTTGCACCACCTTGATGTATTCCTCTCCTGTCCTGTCTAAGAGTGCCCGATTAGCATATGTCAGTAATCATTTATCCCCACTGCCTGTCAGCTCGGAGCTGCACGGCAGCGCGAGAACATGACCGATCGCTGTTAAACAGATTGTGAGAGTCACACGAGATCCTGGGGCAAGCCTCCTCTTTAGAGCTCCTCTCACCCCAGACCTTTCCATCACTGCTCATTTTTCAGCCTGGGTTTTGCTTCGTGCTTTCCCTTTTGTTTCATCCATGGCCGTGGTTGGGTTCCTGCCCCAGCCGCAGCTCTCAAACCTTCAAATCTTTCCTTCTTCTCTTTCTCCTTTTTCTTCTTCTCCCTTTCTCTTCCTTCCCAGAAGTGGCATGCAAGGAGGAGGGACAGCTCACTGTGCCAGCTTCTGCAGATTTTCCTCCTTTCTCATTGCCTTACCCTGGAAGGTTTGTCTTTCCCCAGTTGCAGATTTACCAGACACAGCCCACATTAGAACTTGGATCAAGGAGTTTGTTACTCACTTGACCTTCAGTGCATGGTTTCCTCCATGGAAAAATAACTCCTCTTGAACATCCATAAATGTTTACCCAGTTAAATGCAGTAACAACCTGGAGGAAGTTAAGGATTCCCAAAGATATTTGGTGGTCTCCAAACTGGTCTTTAACAACTCCTCTAAAGGAGGGTTCTACAGAGATGATGGAATGGTTTTGAAAGCAAGACTGACCTAACCCAGGGACTCCAGGAGTCAATGTCAGTCCCTCCTTTACTCAGGTGACAAATGGCCAAAACACTGCCTCTAATCCATGTAAAAACCTCATCCTACTGTGCAAGAAGAATGTGAAAAGCAATCACAAAAGTATCACCTCACAGAAAGCTTGTTAGCAGACTCCATCTGCATATTCCTTCGGTGGCTTTGTCCTGCTCTGACCAGTACAGAAGATGCTCATGACTTGAAAAATACTCCAGACCCTGGGCAAGAATGTTCAGAGACTCCATTGCCTGGCCACAGCTTCACTTTAAACTTTTTTTCCATGTGCTCCAAGGCAGGTGTGAGGTGCAGGAGTGTGATATTCTCAAGCCACCCATCCTCCTGGTCACTCAGTCACCCCATCATCTGGAATAACACCTTTCAGTCTGTCCTGCTCTGGGTCTGAGGGGAGCAACACCCACACACTGAAATAGTTATAATCCAAAACAGGGGCAGCAGGAAGGTGAGATTTTGTTCTTTAGGCCCATAAAAATCATCAAGAAGGATTTTTTTTATCCCCACCGTGACCCCGTGACAGAGAGCTGCAGAAACTGGGCATGGATATCTCTGCTGGCTCTTAAACTGGGCTTTCCATTCAGTCCCTGGCACCATGAAATCTTGCCCAAGAATTGGAAGAGAAGAAAACAAAGGAGCTTTTCCCTCCCCACTAATTGCATCTGCTTGCTCCCTGCCTTGCCAGAGCTGCATGACATTACATAGTCATTCAGTCAGTAAAGTATGGACAAATTGACTATATTTTCATTTGGATTTAGGTTTCAGCCCCACTGCTTTAGAATAATGGCCCACACTGTTAAGCTAACTGGGTGATTTACAGGCTCTCCCACACCGGGTGCTCCTGCTGTCTCTGCAGGACTGACCTGGCCCGAGGTCTCCTGGGCCCCCCAGCTCACCAAGGCAAACAAAATCACAGGGAGCCACTCCTGTCCTGATGGGCAGTTCATTAGGGAAAGTTGCTGCATCCAAGTGGCTTTTTATTTATTTTTTTTAACTAAACCAAGCAGATGTTAACTCCTTACTCACCTCAGCAAGATGCTTCTGCTGCCCTCCTCTTCCTCAGCCACCCCCAAAGCAAACAGCCTCTGCCTTGCTTTGCCTGCAGTGACACAATTCCAGGGCTCAAGTTTTGCCAGCATGGCTGGGACTGTGCCCCAGAATTTAATTTATTTGTAGATGTGGGACCACATTCCCTGGGGACTGTACTCCCAGGCACCCAGCATGGACATAAGTCATAGAATGCTTTGGGTTGGAAACACACCTTGAAGATCATCTTGTTCCAGCCTCTCTGCCCTGAGCAGGGACATCTTCCACTGGACCAGGTTGCTCAGAGCTCCATCCAGTCTGGCCTGGAGCACTTTCAGGGGTGGGGCAGCCACAGCTTCTCTGGGCAACCTGTTTCAATGCCTCACCACCCTCACAGGTTAAAAAAAAATTTCTAGTATCTAATCTAAACATACTCTCTTTCAATTTGAACCCATTCTTCCTTGTCCTGTCACTCCAGGTTCGTATCAATGGTCTTGCCCCATCTTTCCTGTAAGTTCCCTTCAGGTCGCCCCAAAGCCTTCTCTGTTCTAGACTGACCAATCCCAGTTCTCTCAGCCTCCTGTCCCCCACGTTTGTCCTGTCCCTGTGTCACCTGCTGGCCCAGGCAGAATTGTGTCAGCCGAACTCTGGAAAGGACATTGCTGCCCAAATGTAGCATCTCCACCTGTGCCAGGCCAGGGCGAGGCTCCAGCCACCTCCACCTGAACGTTTGGGAGTCACTATCCAAACCAGTAAGTCAATATTGGCCACCCCCAGTATATTTCCAGGGCTCTATCAAGTCAGGAAGGATTCAGGCAGCAACAAAGCAGCAACACAGGACAGAATTCACCAACGTGTCAAAACAGCTCCGCGCACCTCCTGTCACTGACACACACCAGGGTTCTTCCTTTGCTCATTAGAGAATCCCAGCTCACAGACACACTCAGGTGGCTTGTTTACTTGACCAAGCAAGGGGAAGGAAAGGAAATGCAGCAACTTTGGACAAGACTTTTGTCACCGTGCGCTGCCTCCCCGAGCAGATGAAACGCGCGGCGCGGATGCGCGATATGAATAAGCGATAAGCAATTGACGAGCAAGTGTTCGGGTACCTTGGCAAAAGACTTAATTTGCAACCTGGCACAAAATCAAAGGCTCTGTCAACGGCTGAGCGGCTCTCCTGCGTACGCCTTGCATTACCTGGGAAAGCTCTGTCAGGTAAATTTCCACTGAAAGTAATTAGAGGAATCCCCACTGTATAAACTTTGCAGCAAAAATTCTGGGCTCCGGAATTTGATTCTCACCAGGGATCCGATATCTGCTCGCAGCCTGATCCTTCGTCAGAATTAACAGCTGAGGTTTAACACGTACACACAAAAATGTTCTGCATTTTTTTTTAATGCCTTACCTCTATTTTTGTCTATGGAGCTGAACTGACAAGCACAGCTCATGTAATCTTGCAGCTGTTGTCTTGTCAGAAAAGCCACAGATTCTGCTTAAATAACCTGGGCTTGGTACACACAGCACACAGGGCTGGCTGTTCAGGTGCAGCATTGGTCCTCCTGGGTTTGAGGGCAGAAAAACTTCTGGGACTTGGAGTGCTATAAAACTCATCTCCTGGGGCCTAAATAGTGCTTAAATAATAAAGCAATGTGTTCAAGATCTTCCTGTCACCACACTACCAGATCAATCCTCCCTTCAGCTGGGACTTTGGCTGACCAAAAAGAATTAAAATCAGTGTCAGCTGCTGGTTGTTCAGTGGCCCAAGTGACACGAGCTGGTGGCTCCCAGCCCTGCAGTAACAATCCAAAGCAGCATCACTGGCCTGTGGCAGGCACGATGCAAACAGAGACCACAGCACCCTGCAGGGCTCCAAACAGGCAGCACAGACTCAGCTGCCCTGGGCATGATCCCTGCACATCTCCTCTGGGCCCACAGCCACTCCATGGCTAGCTGCAGCCTCTGGGCCCCTGTCACCATCACTGCATTTGCTTGCAGATTCTGGAGGTTTTCTTGGTTTTGCCTCCACACTCAAAGATTCCAGCAATACAATTGCACAAATCACAGCAAAGCATTTTCATGATCCAGGTTTTCCCACTATACCTTGTGCCCTGGACACTTAACCTCTCATCCCCACCCAATGCTGCCCTCTGTCACAGAATATTTTGGCTTGGAAGGAATATTTAAGGGCCATCTAGTCCAGTTCCCCTGCAGTGAGCAGGGTCATCCTCAACCAGATTGTGTTTCTCAGAGCCCCATCCAACCTGACTTTGACTGTTTCCACAGATGGAGCATCCACCACCTCTCTGGGCAAATTCCAAGTATTTCAACACCCTCATTGTAAAAACTTCTTATATCTTACCTCAATTGACCCTCTCTTTGTAAAAACCATCACCTGCCACGCTCAGCACTTCCCTCAGAGACAGAGTGACCATCACTCCTGTGCCATTTCCATTGCTCTGGACATCTGATTGACACAGGAAAACAGCAGCCTCCTGTGCAGCTGTACAGCCTCGATCATCTCCAGGGCAGGCTCCACCTGCAACCACACCCCAGCAGCCAGAGGCAGCACAAGGAAGAGGTGGCAGCCAATTCCCCTTGCTCTTCTGGAGATTCTCACCCACGAAGGAATGGATTTTGGGTGCTCACGGCTTGTGGCAGGGTGAAACCACACACGCTGTGTGGGGTTATGGGTGAGCACCTGCCATTGCTGCAGTGCACAACTCCATGGAAATGCTTTTTAAATGGGTTTGGGGTTTCATTCATGTCCCCGTTCTGGCTTCTGCAGAAATGCTATTTATCAAGATAACTTTAAGTAAAACTCTTGCCTGGCATGAAAAGGGTCAGGATTCAGATGTCAAGCACACGAGGTCAGTGTGAAAGCTGCCAGCTCTGGTCTGACCCTGAAACATCTGCCAGAGAGGTGGGGGGCACACTCCAGGTTACAGCTCCAGTGCGTTAATTCTTCTTTCCTCTGTTGACCAGACCAAATGACCAGTGAAGCCCAGCAAATATCTGTGGCTATTATTTTCAGGAAGAAAAAAAAAACACCACAAATCTCTATAGGACATTAAATACAGCAGCCCAAAATCTCCAAGCACTGTTTGAAACCTTCCTGGGCTTGAAGCAAATAAAGATCATTTAGCCCAGGCTCCCTCATCCTGCATTTCCCTCTGTTCTTAGAAAGGTGGGGAGAGAAAAATCAACCCCATTCGTTAAGCCAGTTAAGCACGCTCCTGGCAGGAAAAGCCACATTATTTGTAACCCTAATAATCCAACACTCACCTCTGAGCACAGCTCATCTTGGACAGAATAACGTCTGTTTTAAAAGTACCTGCCTCTCTCTAACTTGTCATGGCATTTGTTGACAACCCTATTGAAAGCCGCTCTCGACGCGGCTGTGAAGGATCTTTCAGCACCTCTTTCTCTTTCCTAGACAGTTTTTGAAAGGGAGGGGAGAAAAAGAAAAAAGCCATCAATACAGGGGGAAAAAGGCATCAGCAGCCAACATCGGCTGATGAAGCGCCTCACCTGGGCCCCCAGCACACCGCCTCCAATTAAATCAAAATGGTTTGTTTTTAATGGTCTTTTACACTGACAAGTGGGCTATCATTCCAGGCCTAGAGAGCTGTCAGGGAGCCGAGGCAAATCCTCCGTTGATAATGCCCAATGCTTCCAATTAGGAAGCGGGGCCGCTGCTGGCGCACTAACGATTCCCCAGCCTCCCCAAGGCCCCTTCGGCGCTGGCTGTTTGGTCTTGGCTCTTCCTCCGCCGCAAATTACTGACACAAAACGGAGGCGCCCCGGTGCCTCCTCACCACGCCGGGCCCCGGCCCTGTTGGATTTAATGAGGCGATGGAAGTTTTTGCGGATCTTTCGCTAAATTCTTTTCTTGTTTGACAGCTGCTTGAGTGTTGACCTTATAAAAGATTTAGTGTTTCTCATTATTTTCTGTCAAGCTTTACAAGCGGTGGCTTGGCGGAAAAATCATTTGCATCTCGATGCGTGCGCGCGCGCGGGGTGGTTTTTTTTTATTTTATTTTTTTATTTTATTTTTTTATTTTATTTTTCTATTTTGTCTGTACGGGGATGCTCGGCGCGCTGAGCGCACCCTACCCCTCTCTGTATTGTTTGTTTTACTCCCTACCTTTTCTGAAAAAAACCCACTGTTTTGTGTTGTTTTGGAAGAAAAAAAAAAAATAAATAAGCCCCAGGATTTGTTAGACTCCTGTAAATGAAGGAGGGTTTGGGAAAGGAAAAAAAAAAAAGAAAATAATAGAGATTGGTTTCCTGTAAAGCGAGCACAGGAAAGTGTTTTGTCACCCGCTAAAAGGATTCGATCAAATGGATGATGGAGGAAGCAGGCTGAGTCCCGGTGCAGCTTTGTTGTTAAAGTGAAAAATGGTGCAAGGCTGGGGAGCTGCTGGAGCAGCTGGGCAGAGCCAGGCAGGTGCTGGGAGAGCAGCAGGGACAGCCAGGTCTCCATGGATCCTTCCAGGCCGCGGGGAGAGCCTGGTGCTGTTCATTACCTGCTTCAGGCCTCTCCATGGGTTCTTTCTCAAGTCACCAGGAACCATTAAACACAGCTCTAGTAACTAAAACTCCCCCGTTAAGCTGAGCTTATTTTGCACCCAAGGGTGCTCACAGTGCCCAGCACCCACACGACCCTGCTCAGTCTCTGGGGTTTGCTGCCATCAGGGGAGCTCTGACCTCCCTGCCCCAGCCTGGCCTTCCTGCATCTCACCTGCAATTTATCAGCCCTCAATTAGCACACCTGCCTTGATGTGCCCTCCAATTTAACACATTATTATAACTGTGAAACTCTAAAGATAATACCCTCCAAATACAGATTGAAGTTTTAGGAGTGGTAATTATTTTTTTGCCCCTCTAATTCTGTGAAGCTAACACTGACATTACAACGTCCCAGCTGCAAGGGTCCTGCAGGTTTTCATTTGTCAATAATAAATGAAATGAACAGCAGCAAACATTGCTCCTCTGCAGCAGCTGGAGCCCATAGCAGCTCCATCATCCTGCAAGGAAAACCTTTCAGCTTTTTCCTACAAGCCATATTCCTGTCCTGCTGCAGCTCCAAACAAAACCCTGGCATTAACAACCCATAACTGCAGCAGAGTAATGGCAAAGATCATCAGCTGTCTCTAGAGGAGGTACCTTTGGGTTCATCATTTAAAATATGAATTAGAAGAATCAGAGATGAGGATTCATCACTGGCATTGACTGCTCAACACCAGTCTCTGTCATAAAAGACCTTTGACCCAAGGACACCCTTATCTGGACTCTAATGACTGGGAGGGTTTCTCATTTTTTAAAGCAGCACTTGGCCCTGTCCTACACCTGGTGCTCCCCACTCACTCATGCTGAGGGCAGGAGCTGGCACCCCTCACAACTTCCTCAAGGCTCTGCTCACTTTAATTACTGCCAGTTGTGGCTCGGTGGGACATTTCTCACCCAGGAGCTTTGCACTGAGATTGGAGTGAACAAACTGCTCTTTCCTCTCCTATGGCATCACCCCATCCCAGGCAGAAATGTCCCTGTGGCCAGCACTGGTGGATGAGGGAGCCTGACATTCACGAGAAGCAGCTCAGCTGTCCCTACCTGCAAGCACTGGATTTTTCTAAAAATCCCAGCTGCAAAGGAAAAACTGCTTCATCTTTAGTGGCAGGTTGGAGTTGGAACAAGCAGGGATTGTCCCTGCCAGCTCTCTGGGGTTACCCACCTCCTGCAGCAGCCCCTGCTTCTGCCTTCCCCACCTCTCCCTCCCCAAGAGGGGTTATGTCACTGCTGCTATTTGTGAAAGAAAGCAAAAACATCCAGAAACAGCTGTCTGAAGTTAGGCACTCAAATGCATATTTAAGTACCTGAACGCCTTCCTCCAGAGAGGGGGAATAGCTAAATACGCTTTGTTTGTCTTGATTAATGAGATCACTAGCAAGCTTTTCAGGGCAAAGACTGCTCTGTATTTTTACATATGCAAAACCTGCCATGCAGCCAGCCTGAGCAGGGTGGGTGGGGGAAGTGGGAGGCAGCTCAGCACAGGCAGATGTGTGGCACAGGGAATTGTGCTGGGGGCCCCCCCAGTCCCAGTCACTGCTCCTCCCGTGCAGGTTTGCTGCACACAGCTGTGTGTGAGCCCCACTGCTCACCCCAAAGGGCCCTGGCACCTTTCTACCCCCAGATTGCTTCCCTTTCGTTTACTGTCATGGGCATTTTTTCACCCTGGCCTCACTCAAAGGTGATTCCTGGGGAGCTGCTGCTTTTTTGTTTTTAGGGCAGGTCATGTAAGAGTCCCTGACCTCATCAGGGACTTCTCTGGGAGCTCTGAGCCCATCCTGGCCCTTCAGTGAAGAACCCAAGTCTAATTTTGTAGAAAACAACTCATATTTACTTCAGGGCCCACCTTAGGGCATGGCACCCTTTGAAAATGTCAGACAACAAACACACCATAATAAAACTACAGGGCCTTGATGCTAGAGCAGGATAAGAATGTCCTGAAGTCAATCAGGAAGCTACTCCTCATTTTAAGCAGGTTAAGTGTTTAACTTCAGCTGGAGACAAGTCTCCCAGTCAGGCAAAAGCTCTTGTGCAATCTGCAGTCTCCTCCCTGTCTGTGCTTCAACCTATTTTCTGTGGCTGCTCCTGGCTGTAACCACTCCTCTCTCTGCTCCTTTCCTCATAGGCTGAGCCTCGTCTCAGGACTTTTCCAGACCCTGAATCCCGTCAAAAGGCTCTCAGTGCCTCCCACTGAGGAGTGCCTGTGAGCTGTCCCTTTCCCCAGAGGGCCCCCACAGCAAGGATGGTGCTAGGCACAGCCCTTGGACCCTGGCATTCCACATGCAATAGACTCTCAGGTTTTACAGAGTTATGCTAATGCAAATATAGCCAAATAAATCATAAATATAAGAGGAACAGTTCTGTCTCAGCCTGGTCATTGCTTTGTGTCAGGTGCACAGCACAATCCTGGTGATACTCAGGAGCAGGGCAGTGCTCACACCAGCACAGCCCCACAGTGAGGCAGGACAGGCTCCTTCCCTGCTGGTTCTGGACAAATAGATTGGATACAGCCACATCCTGGCTGATATCAAATCTGTAATCTCTCATCAGGCCTCATTTCTTTGCCAGAACAGCTTCCCATCAGTGCCTGATTCAGCAAAGCCTTTGCCTGTGTGAAGGAATTCAAACACCTGCTTCGAGTGCTCTGCCAAACTGGGCCTCACCACAGGCACTGCCTCTGCTTTTTGGTGGCTCCAGCCAGCTCCACACCCCCTCCAGCAGCTGCTGGTGCCTGCAGGCCCCGAGGGCTGAGCCTGTCCAAGCACTCACTGAACAAACTCAAACTCTACCAACACCAACTCAACCCACAGGCTCAGTCAGGAGCCAACACATTTGGAATGCATCTCCTCCCAACAGAGCATTTCACTTCAAACACCACTTGGTTAAAAGTGCCATTATTTAAACTGTAGGTCTCCATTATTACTAAAGGAATAATTGGCATCTCTTACACAGTCTGCTTCTCACATCTACCATGACAGCTCAGAGTTACAAGGTTTTTAAGCCAAATTATCTCCCAATTTTCATATTCTCTCTCCCACTGGCACTTGGAGAGCTCAGGTGTGCTCACCCCAGAGCTCTGGGAGCTGGATCTGCTGTGCTGGGCAGCCCCAACTGCATCCTGAGCTCAGGTGGATGTGCCAGCATGATTTTGCCCCCCACGCCTTGGCACTGGGGTTAGCCCAGCTACCAGCAGCCAGAGGACATTAAAAACCCACACTGAGCTCAGGGCTCACTGCCCCTCAGATTTCCAGCCAAACCCCAAAAATAAAAGCCCTTTATAACATTACACTGCATTGCTCAAGACGAAACAACAAAGTAAATTGTAAAGGCAGCTTTATTTTACCCCTCAGGACAAGGAAGGCTCCCCAGGAGCTGCTCCAGCATTTCCCACACCCCTCCCTAGGGCAGCTTGTACCTCAGCCTGCCCTTTTGTAAGGAAGGAGCTGTAACAAACTCCACCCTGCCCACACCTGGGCTGAGGGAGGAACAAAATCACCTGCTCCGAACTGAGAAAACCCTGGTACATGTGTTCCCCTTTTTAGTACAGGCCTCTAAATAAAACCCATCTGAAATAGTGAGGGGGATAACAGCAGGGCTTGCCAAGCTGGCAGAGGTGGATTATAACCAGAGACCCTCCCCACCTCCCCAGGGAGGGAGGAAGCTGGGCCTTAAGTGACTTGTCTTGCTAAAAATGACACTGTTTATGAGAGCGTGAGAAGCCCAGGCACGAGGTTTGTCCTTCTGCCTGCTGTGAGCCACATCCAGCTCCCAGCCCAGCCACAGCATCCCTGTCCCCCTGCAGCAGCCACCAAGGTGCCCGGGGTGTGCTCAGGGAAGGAAGCACCTCCAGAGAGTCCTGCCGGGCTGGGAAGGGCTGACACAGAACGGTGTGAACCAAACCCCTGCAGAGCTGCTGCTCGGGACAGGCGCAGGAAACCAGCAAAGAAACCAGAAACCCGAAAATCATCCGACAAATAAACAAAGTGCGTTCAGGAGACCCCTCTCAGTGCGGCTCAGAGCCGACAGATCTGACCACGAAACGCTGGGCAAGGTCGTGTCCTAACTGTCCGTGGTGTCACAGCTCGGATGGGCAGAGCCTGCCCCGGCACCCCCCGGCCCGAGCCCGCCCCGTCCGAGCCCTGAGCCCGCGTGTCCCGGCCCCGCGCCGCCCCCGCTCCTTGTCCTGCAGTGACACCCACCGGTAACGGGCTTCCACCGCCGCTGCAGCTCCTCCCCGGCCGCCTGTGCCCCCCTTGCTGCCGCCCGTCCCCTCCCCGAGCCCCCCTCCCTCTCCTGCCGGTGCGTTCGGTTACCGGAGCATCCGAGCATCCCTCGCTGCTCCCGCTGGGCACGGCGCCCCGAGCGCCCCGCCGCCCTTCAGGAGGGCTCCTCCCTCAGCCAGACCCTTCCAGGACAGCGGGCTGTGCAGATATTTCTGGGTTAACCCTTGCTCAGGCACCGTCGGAGCTCAGCAGCCCCTGGCGCGGCTGTGGAGGTGTCCCGGGAACACCGGGGTCAGGCCTGTCCCTTGGCCCCGGAGCCAAACCTGCGCTGGTGACAGGAACCAGGAGAGCCCAGCACCCGGCAGGGTGGGAACAGCAGCTCCCAAAGCTGCCACGATCCTAAATCCACGCTGGATTGTGACTGAGGCTTGTGAGGAGGTGACTGTGAATGCAGTTGGCATCAGGGGTCTCCTCTTGGCTGATTGTTTGTGGACAGGAACAGTCTGGAAATCGGGGTTTAAGGGCAGGCACACAGAGGGAAGGAGTATGCACTGCTCCGTGGTCTGTGCACAGGATTTCCTCTCTTTGCTGGGAGCCACAGAAAAATCCTTGGAGCCCCACCTGTCCAGGGTCTGGTGATGGAGGAGGGACACCACACATGGGCAGAACGGGGCACATTTCTGCCTTGGGGAGTCTGAAACAGCTTAATAAAACAATAGCATTAATAGCATAATAGTAATACTAATTTTAGTGTCATTAGAACAGGAGTAGCAGTGCATCTGTAGCTGCTGGGAGCCCCAGGTGTGGCCTAGGAGTGACATCTGTGTCCCCAGGGCCTTGGCTGGGAATGGCACCTGCTCTGGGAGAAGGGCTGTACCCCATAATCAAATACTCCCACAAACTTTGTGCATCATGGTGTCATCTGGGGACTTCCTTGTGGTTCTTTGAAAGCAGGTGCTTTATTCAAGCCTCACCAGCCCTGTCCCTGCATGGCTGATCCAAATCCTGATCCTAATCCCACTCCCAGCCCTGCTGCCTTTCCCGGTCCCGTTCCTGGTCCCAAATAAAACCTCAGCGCTGGTCCTGATCCCAGTGCAAATTTCCAACCCAAATGTGGTCGAACAGGGAGGCTCCCAGAGCCCAAGAACCAACACAAGCCCTGCCAGGAGCTGCCAAACCCCATCGGGGTCTCAGCATCATTTCTTACCAGCACCACTTCCTGCACTCCCCGGTCCAAAGGGACACCTGGCCCAGTCCCGTGGATGGGGACACTGCAGAACTGACCTGGCCCCCATCCCCATCCCCATCCCGGCTCTGTGCTGGGAGACAGACAGGGCACAGCAGCAGCAGGAGCCCCTGAGCAGGGGCAGGGAGGCTGAGCAGCCCTCAGCACGAGGTGCGGGCAGCCTGGGGCCGGGGCTGATGATGCTGATTTTGTTCCTGGGCTTGTCCTCCTCTAAAGTTCTTTTGTTCCGCTGCCCCGACCGCAGCCGGCCCCGAGCTGCAGGGCCGAGGGCAGGAGGTGCCGGGGGCCCTGCCTGCGCCGCTGCCCGACAGCTGGCAGCCGGGCTGCCCCCGGGGGGCTCTCCCCTCCTTGGTCGCCTCCAAGCTGCCGGCCAAGGGCGGCTTTGGAAGAGGGACAAGATGCAGCTGACTGGCCGGGAAGGTGGGGAGCAGAAGAAATCGAGTGTTTGAGAAATAACCAGCGACATCGCTTTAAAGTGACGCAGCTTCACGCGCCCGGGTGTGGACATTTTCCTATCGCCGCGGAGAAGGCTCTATCCACGGGAAAAAAAACCCTAAATAAACCCTCGAGGAGACAGCAGCCAGTGTGACCGCCAGGAAGGTGGGAATCCTGCGTGAGCCTCTCCGACCTGGGAGAACAACAACAGCAAACCCCCGACGGGGCGGGAGGGAGGAAAGTTGGTGTCCCCGGCAGGACGGAGCAGGACGGGGCAGCCCTGCCTGAGGCCATTGGTGTTTTATTTAAAATGCGATAGACGGCAGAAAAACCCCGCTCGGAGCGCTGTCCGTGCCCAGTTGTACCGCGGCTGGGCGCTGGCAGAGCCGCTCCAGCAGCGCTGGGCGGGGGTCGCGGTGCCCGGCGGCCCCCGGACCTCTCTGCTCGGCCACAACCGATTTGCAGGGCATGCAACGAAATTTCGCAGCTCCGAGGCTCATTTCAGGCTCAGAGCAGCCGCCTCAGTGCTGGGGGTTTGGGAGGTTTCGGTGCTTTTTCGTTCCCGTTTTTTTTTTTTTCTTTAATTTTTTTTTCTGAATTTTTTGTTTTTAATTTTAACGCCCAGCAAAACTTTCCCAGCTCGGGAGGGACCGGCAGCTCAGCTAATTGCGGGGGGAAGCGCTCAGAAAGCAGTAACCCCTCGATAACCCACCCAACGCACACCCCCCCTCCCTCCGCGGCTAATCATCCCATTAAGAGCCCCATCAGCGGGATAATGACAGCAAAAGAGGGCGGAAACCGCCCGGAAAGCGCGGGGATCCGGACCGCAATTAATTCCCGTTAATCAAGCCCCGAGGTGTCGCCTGTTGGGGAGTGCCATCCCCCAAAACGCCGGGCGGCCAATGGGCGCGTTCACACGGCTGGGTGGGGGGCGCGGGGGTCCCCCAGCCGGAGCTGCCCAAGTTCAGGGTTTTTCTCCCCATTTCCCCCGTTCCCCCCCGGGGAGGGCGCGGCTCTCCCGCCGCTCTCCGAGGTGCTGAAGGCACCGGAGCGGCTCCGGCGCTGTCCGAGGTGCTGCGGGCTCCGGAGTGACTCCGCTTTCCCCCCGGGCTGTGTCCGAGGGGCTGGCGGGGAAGGGCCCGGCGACTGGCCACCCCCTCCGCCCTCCCCTCGCCCTTCCCCATTGATTTCTGGATCATTAAGTGGTTAAGGCGCTGCGAAGCCTTCACTATCGATCGCTGCCTCCCCACCTCCGGCTGGGAGCCCCCGGGCTGCCCCCCAGCCCCGCGCCGCCGCCGCTCCGGGCACGGGTGGGGTGGCCGGGACCCCGGGTGAGGCTGGGGTCCGTCCCCCCTCACCCCACCCCCTTCGCGGCCAAAGTTTGACTCTGCCTCCCTCTCCCCCCCTCTCCTGTCTGTCTGTGAGTGCAGCTGGGCGCGATGCTGAAGACGGAGCAGCCCTGGATCTAACGCGCGGCGCCTCGGAGAGCCCTGCAGCAATTGTTGCCCGGATCCCAGACTGAACTTTGCTCCTTTTTTTTTTCTTTTTACCTCGTTTTTAATTTTTTTTTTTCATTTTTAATTTTTTTGTTTTGTTTTGTTATCTTTTGTTTTTTTTGTTTTTCCCTCCTGTTATCGTTAATTATCATTACCAACCCGCTTCCGCCGCGCCCTCCCCTCGCCAATGCCCGTGTGAGCGCCGGCACCTCGCGGGGGCCATGGAGGGCTCCACCGGCTTCGGGATCGACTCCATCCTCTCCCACCGAGCCGGCAGCCCGGCCGTGCCCAAGGGGGACCCGCTGGTGGGGGACGGGCGGTCCCCGCTGGAGCTGAGCCCCCGCTCGGAGGGCAGCAGCGGGTGCCCCTCGCCCCGCTCCCCGGGCCGCGAGTGCCTGGAGGCGGCGGCGCCGCGGCCGGGCCTGGATGCGCATCTCCAGCCGGGACAGGTCTCGGCTCCCTCGCAGTCCCGGACCGTCACCTCCTCCTTCCTCATCAGAGACATCCTGGCCGACTGCAAGCCCCTGGCAGCCTGCGCGCCCTACTCCAGCACCAATGGACCTCACGGCGGGCAGGAGCCGGCGGGCAGGATCCCCACCAAGCCCGGCGAGGATTTTAGGGAGAAAATGGAAAAAAACACCAGCAGCTCCTCCTCGGACTCGGAGTACAAAGGTAAGGGCGGCTCGGCGCGCTGGGCTGTGCGGCGGCCCGGGAGCCTCCCGGAGCTCTGGGGTCTCGCTGCTCGCTCAGGGCGGGTCACGGCACCGGCGGCCCCCGGAATGACCGAGGGGTCGGCACCGGCTTGGGGAAACTTGGGGGTTCGGGGCTCGGTGGAAGGGGCTGGGGCAACGGGCGCATCACGAAACGCGCCCGGGGAACGCTCCGGGGCCGCCTCCCGCCGCCAGGATCCGGCTCTGCCGTTCCACCCGCCGGGAAAGGAGCAGCCGAGACGGATTTCTGCCTGAGGAAAAGAAAAAAAAAAGAAAAAAAGAAAAAAAGAAAAAGAAAAACCAAAACAAACAAACCAAACCAGAACCGTAATAAAATAATCGCGTAATTGCCAGGGATTTCCTCTGCTCCGGCGAGAAACGAGCAAGCCGGTCGGCGGGGTTGGATTCGATTGTTGTTATTTGGGTTATTATTTTGGAAATCGTTCAAAAGCGAGCAGTGCAGACGGGGAGCCCCGGGCCGCATCCACAGCGCCGGCGGGGCGTGGGGGGATGCGGGGGATGCTCGGGATGCTCAGCCCGGGCCGGGGGCTTCGGCCTCCCGGGCCCCCGCGGCCCTTCCCGGCCTCCCCCCGCGGCAGCCGGGGCAGGGAGAGGCACAGGAACAGCACGGGGGGATTCGGGGTCAGAGCTCGCCCCTCGGAGCAGTTTATCCCACCCTCGTCACCTCTGCAGAAACTTTTCTCCGGGAAAACTGTCCGCCGGCTGTTGGCGAGGGAAAGGAGAGGGAATCCATCCAGCTGGGCGGAGAACAGGCAGGTGATGGCACCTTGAGGGGCCGCTGAATTTGGGGAGATTGGCAGGAAAAAAGGGGGACAGGCTGAGCCCCGTCCCGGCTACAAATGCACCCTGGGCTCGCCCGGAGCCGCTGGGCTGAAATCTGATTCATGGGGGAAAAAATATTCACCCAATTTAGCCTCAAAGGCGGCGGCAGGCTCTGGACATGCAGAGCGGGATCCATTCAGGCTCTGGACATGCAGAGCGGGATCCATTCAGGCTCTGGACATCACGGGGCGATTTCCACTCCTAACGAAGGATGGATCCCGGGCTCGGGGCCGGTTCTGGAAGTGCCCCGGGGGGAAGCATCGTCCCCCAGCTCTTTGCAGGGCCGGCAGTGCCGCGATCCCTCCTTGGCTGTTTGTTCTCACCCGGCCCGAATTCCTGCAGCTCTTCTCCCCCTGCCCCAAATCGCGAAAGAAGCGAGGGGAGAGAAGAAAATCGGGTTCTCTGCATCCCCTGAGCCGGCCGAGCCCTGCTTTGGGTTGGGGTCGTTTTCCGGAGCCCCTCGGCTCCTTTCCCGTCCCTGCGGCGGGACAGCCACGGCCGCGCTGGAAATGCCGTTTAAATGGGGGTAAAAATCCTTTAAATTGCGGGGGAAACACCGCTTAAATGGGGCGCAAAAAAACCCCACTGCTTAAATGAAAGGGGGAAAAGATTAAGCGGAGGGAAAAAGAAGAAAAAAAGACCAAAACCAGTTTAAATGGGGAGGAAACCACAGTTTAAATGAGGGTAAAACCCCGCATCAGTGGCGGAGTGAAGATCCCGCTCCCAGAGCGATCCTTTTTGGGCGCTTTGGAATCAGCCTTTCCCGGGGCAAAACGCCCCAAATTTACTCCGCAGAGGGGCTGCGAAGCTCGGCCTAACCCCCAGCGGCCAAAGTGCCGGAAACCCCTAAAATACATATTTTTATATGTATATATTTAATTTTTTTAAGCTAGGGGTAGCCAGGGGCCGGTCCGGACCGAGCAGAGAAGCCGTGGCCGCCGTTCCTGCGGCTCCTTGGCGGGCAGGAACTTTTTTAGGAGCCGAGGATCATCCCAGGGGCCGGGGGGGATTTTCCTCCTCGGGATGCGAGAGGCCAGACCCGCGAAAAAGTCCTACAAACTTTGGGGCCGTTCCCGGGAGAGAGCGGGGCCGATCCCCTGCCCAAGGATCATCCCCGGCTCCTTCTGCCCGCTCGGCCAGAGCCAGGGTTTCTGGTTGAAGGGTTTCACTCCCCGGTGGCTCAATTAACCGGATTATTGTCTTCCTACAGAGAGAAATCAGCTCGCGTTCGGCTCCAGCCTTGTCCCTGCTCACCCCCGCCACCAGCAAATTTAACATAAAACCCTGTAAAAAAAAACAAAATCACGAACCCAAACGCCGCCGATTTGTATAAATCGAACCTATTTGCTCCATGATCTCCTCCAGGAGGGTGGAGAAGGCGAGCACAAGCAGGAATTTATTTTCCCCCTTTTATTTTTGTTGCCGCTCCGTAATTTTCCCATCACCTTCCAACATTTTGCGGCGTAAATTCCCGCATCGTTCCGACCGCGCTAACGAACCGCCACCCAGCCCTCTCGTTCGGCCTTTTTTAAAGATAAATAACAGCCCGGGCAGGGGTTTGTGAGCTCCTTTCCGCAGTTTTTCGTTGTGCGCCCTGGAGAAGGGAGGTTTGCTGCGTGCCCCGGCAGCATCCCCGGGAGGACGGAGGATTCTCCGCGGAGGGGAGAGGCAGCACGGCAACATTCCCCTGCAAAAAATGTGGGCTCGCAATTTTCGGGTTTGGTTGGTTTGTTTTGGTTAAAAAAAAAAAAAAAAAAAAAAAAGAGAGAGAGAGAAGAGAGAGAGAAAGGTAGATAGAAAAAAAAAAGGAAATTAAAAAAAATCCAAGCACCGAGAAAGCTTTTGAGTTTGGGGGAATACGCCCAGAGGAAGGTCCTGCCCCGAGAGAAATGAGGGGTGAGGGGGATCGGGGCGTCTGGGCAGGAGGGCGGCGGGGTCGGGCCGGGGCTTCTCTCGGCACAGTCCAGCGTTGCTGCTCCCATCCCAGACCCTCGGGACGGGGAAAAGCCGGGCCCGGCTCGGGGAGTCCCCGAATTCCCCCTGGTAGTCGGGGTTAAAATTTACGGGGGTGCAGAGCGAATGTGCCGTGAGCCGAGCCCTGCACTGGGTCACCCTCTCTGCTGATGGTGATTCCCTTCCTGCCCTGACTTGGCCTCTTTTCCTCAGTGAAAGAAGAAGGGGACCGAGAGATCTCCAGCTCCCGGGACAGTCCCCCGGTGCGGCTGAAAAAGCCGCGCAAAGCCCGCACCGCCTTCACCGACCATCAGCTGGCCCAGCTGGAGCGCAGCTTCGAGAGGCAAAAATACCTGAGCGTGCAGGACAGGATGGAGCTGGCCGCCTCCCTCAACCTCACCGACACGCAGGTGAAAACGTGGTACCAGAACAGAAGGTAAAAATGCACCGCTCCCTCCTGCCCACAGCGCCGGGATCCCGCCCTGCTCCCCTCCCCGGCCGCGCACCCCAAACCCGGCAGGGCTTTTGCACCCCACAGCCGGGACAGGGGCGATGTGCGGCCCGTCCCCGCCTCTCCCGGGGCTTTTCACCCCAAAATCGAGGGGAGAAAAGCGATGCCGAGGCAGGGCGGGTGCGGGGCAATCCGTGCCCCCAGCCCCGGGGAGGCAGGAGCGGGCTTGCTGCTAAACACAACAGCATAACACATCGGCCCATTAATAATAGATACCAATTACTGCTTTGGGCATCAATAATTAACACCCTTTACAGTAATTACACAATTATTATTATGATGAATAATTTACTGGTGGAAATAGGTTTAGCGCTTCAGCGACAAATCTGTAAAAGGGCTGGCGACGCGGTGGCTTCGGTGGGTTTGTCCCGACAGCGCCAGCCCCGAGCTCTGCCACCGCCACCAAACGAGGAGCAGCCCCCGCCCTGTCCCCTCGCTCCTTCCAGGGTTTTACCCTCCCTCTCCATCGTTTGCAGTCCCGCTTCTCCACCTGCAAAGATCTCCCCATGTCGGGGAAGTTTAGGGGCGGCGGGGGAGGCTGTGATCATCCCTCCTCTCCCCAAATCCCTCCTGCAAGGACAGAGCCGAAACTTCCAGCACTTCCCAGCCAGCCCGGCCCGGGGCGGCGTGATCCTGGGGCCGGGCTCCTCCACGAGATCCGGAACGCACACATGAATATATAGATATATATATTTTTTAAACTACATTTATATATATATATATTTATATATATACATGCGTATACCGATATATACGCATATAAAAATACACACTTACGTATATACATATATACATATGTATGTGTATTTAGACACAGATATAGATGATATAGATAGATAGATATAGACATAGATGATATAGATATGCCGCAAACGAATTCCCCGGGCCCCTGCCCCACGGCTGTCCCTCCGCGGGACTCCCGCAGCCTCCCGAGCCCGGCCCCGGCAGCCCCGGCCCGGGGAGAGGGTCCCGGAGCATCCCCGCTCAGCCCACGGATCCCCCGTGTCACCCTCGGCTCGTGTGACAATCTGGGATTTACACGCCCAGGAAGGGCCGGAATTTCTGTCGCGATTTTCATCGCCGGGATCCTCATCCCGCCGTTGGGTCCCAGCCGGGCTGTGGCTCCGGCGCTCCCGGGAAAGCTCCGTGGGAGCTCAAGCCGGGCTGCCGCGGCGGGACCGCCAGGGCGATGAGCTCCCTGCCCCCATTAAGGGGGTCTGCATCCCATCCCGTTAAATCTCATCCCGTTAAATCCCATCCCATCCCTGCCCCACAGGAGAGGCCGGCCCCGGGAGCGGGGATGCTCAATGAGAGCAGAGCCCGGGGAAAGGGGTGTGCAAAGGGTAAAAAGAGCCCGGGAGCGGCTTTGGGATCATTCTCCTCCTCTCCTTGACCCCTTCTCTCGCCTCGCCCCTCCAGGACCAAGTGGAAAAGGCAGACGGCGGTGGGCCTGGAGCTGCTGGCCGAGGCTGGCAACTATTCAGCCCTGCAGAGGATGTTCCCCTCGCCCTACTTCTACCCGCAGAGTTTGGTCTCCAACCTGGACCCCGGCGCCGCCCTCTACCTGTACCGCGGACCCAGCGCGCCGCCCCCCGCCCTCCAGAGACCCTTGGTGCCCCGCATCCTCATCCACGGACTGCAGGGCGGCAGCGAGCCCCCGCCGCCCCTGCCCCCGCTGCCCGGCGTCCTGCCCCGGGCAGCGCAGCCCCGGTGAGCCCCGGGGAGCCCGGGCAGCCCCGCCGGGCCGGGGGGCTGGAGGGGGCCACCCCACCCCTCTGGGGCCGCGAGCAAGAGACAGACTGCCGCTCATCCCCAAATATATATGTGTATATATATATATAAAATTATAAATGAAACCACCCCCTTCCTTTTTTAAAATAATATATAAAGAATGCAAGAATCAAAGGACAGGCTTGGCGGGACGGAGCGGGCAGAGCTGCCCCTCACCACCTTCACCCCCTTGTGCCCCCGACGGGCAGCGGGGCCGCTGTGTCCCCTCCTCGGCGTGGGATGGGGTCGGATGCTCCGGGGGGCTTCGCCTCTCCGCCCCCGCCCCAGGAATAATCGGGGGAGCCGAGCCACACCTGGGCGGCTCGGGGAGACCCCTCCCCGCTTTCTCCGGCTCCCCGAGCCTGGGGCAGCGGTCCCGCCGCCGGGAGGGACCGAGGGGTGGCCCGGGCCGGTGGCCCCAGCGAGACTTTGGGACGTCCGTAACTTAAACTTAAAAAAAAAAAAAAAAGAAAAAAAAAGAAAAAAGAAAGAAAATCAGGTGGGCTTTGTTGTAAATACGGTGCAAAATGTATATGAATTATTTATTTGTGAACCCTGAGGGCGTATTTGTGTAAGTGATTCTTGTCAGTCTGTATCCCGGGGCCGGCCCGGCCGGGCTGGGGGCGCGGGGTTGGGAGGGGGGGGGCTCGGGGCGCCGCGGCCGCTCCCGCTCCCCCTCTTTTTTTTTTTTAAATGTGGAAATAAAACTTCTTTACAAACACACGGGTCTCGCCTCCGCCGGCCCCTTCTTCCCCTCCCGCTTGTTTGCTCTGGCAGAACGGCGCCGACGAGGGAAAGGGAAAAGCAAAGAGGAGTGTTTTCCCACCTCCCATCGCTCGGAGCCCCCCACTCCCCGGGGCTCGGTGTCCCCCCGGGGCTCGCTGTCCCGTTAGAGCTCGGTGTCCCCCGGAGTTCGGTGTCCCTTTGGAGCTCGGTGTCCCCGTTAGAGCTCGGTGTCCCTTTGGAGCTCGGTGTCCCGTTAGAGCTCGGTGTCCCCCCGGGGCTCGGTTCCAGTGCCGGCATGCGGGACCGGCCACGGGAGCGGCGGAGGAACCGGGGCAGCCCGGCGCGTTGATAGCCGCGACTCCGGTGAATTAATAACGCTAATCTTAAGTGTATAATTGCCTAAAGTGCTTTAAATGACCGCTTTGGAAAATGGATTGTTTCCACCCTTTAAAAGTGTCGCTCAGCTCACCAGCGGGCCCGGCAGCTGGTGCCCGGGACAGCCGGGCAGCGGCTCCCGGCTCGGGGAGCCGACAGATGGGCTGCGGCTCCCCCCGGCCCGGCCGCTCCCCCGGCTGTCTGCGAGCCCCCCCGGCACCCACCGGCCCTGCAGAGCCCCCTGCCCGGCTCCCCGGGCCGGGTCCCAGCGCGGTGCCCCGGAACCCCGAGCCCCGCGATTGTCGGCTCGGCCAAATGCGCGGCCACGCCTGGGGCCAGAGCCCCCGGCCTTTGTGCGTGGCCGGCTCTTTGCATGTGAATAACGGGGTTTGGTAAATCCCCGCGCCTCGGCTGGGCGAGGAGGAGGAGGAGGAAGGGGGGTCGCTGCCGGCTCGGGGTTAATGAAGTGGGAAAGGAGTCTTTCAGAGAGGCCTGCAAACAACCCCCTCCCCGGGCAACAACCCCCGTCCCAAATCCTACATGGATTGACTTAAACCCAGGGGATAAGTGCTTTAAATTAATCTCATTGAATAAGAATGAGGCCAAACAAAACTCTTTAAAATCATATTAAAAATCTATCAAAGGACAACTTGCAGTGGGTGTGCTTTTCATTTTGTGAGCGCAAAGGCAAGGAGCATACAGCAACCTTCCTCCCATTTACACAGCAGGAATGTGAATCAAAGACATTCTCTAATATTTAATTGTCCTTGTAGCCGTAGCAGATTCCTCCTCTTACATTAATGAAGTACAAGGCTTCGTTACACGTTTGTAATTGCAATATTTAAATTTGCCATTTCACATCTGGAAGGAGCTGTACCAGTGGAGCCAGCACCATAACAGGGTGCCAGGGTCCAGTTTGTGCTAGGAGCGTGGTAGGAGAGAGCAGGACAGAGCCCTGAGGAATCCTCTGCCCTGGGAAGGGGAATGTGCCAGGTGTGGTGGGGAGGAAAGAGAGCAGAGGGGACAGGAGGGCTGGAGCTGCTGCTGCCAGGGAGATCTCACAGCAGAGCCAAGCTTCAAGATGAAACAGTTTAGGGAAGACACCACAGGCTCTAAGCAGAAGCAGCACACTTGCCCCATGAACAGCATCGTGTGTGGGAGCATCTCAGCAGCCTCAAAACCTGCTGGAGGACCAAGCTCACCTCCAGCCTGCGTGCAGGATGCAGGGACTGAGATGGTGTCCCACAGCAGAACACACCACCACTGGCCCTGCACCTACAGCAGCCCCTGAGCAGGCTGGAAATGTTTCCAGAGGATGGTGCCAGGTGGGCACAACCCTGGCAAAGCCCCAGGGGTAGGACAGGCTGTGCTGGGTTGAAATTATATGAAGGAAAAAATGGAACAGTTGAGAAGCACCAGTCCCAGCAGGGAAACCTTTGGGTGTTGCAGCAGTTCTGCTCCAGGGATTTCTCCAGGGTACAGAGCCCAGCAGACAAACTGCTGCTGGTTGGGCTCTGTCAGCTCCAGGCTCTGGATGCAGGGAGTGCAGTGGGTTTGCCAGGGCCAAACACAGCCCTGGCTCTCAGGTCCCTTCCAGGCTTTCACCCAGCTCCAGGGCCACCTTCCTGCCCTCCTGGCACAGCTTTAACCAGGACCAGCACCTCAGAACAGCCACAGCAAGAGCTGCTGCTGGACATGCCAGCACACACAAAGCCATTGCAATCAGCAGAATTGATTCTAGCCAAGATATTCCACAGCTTCATCCAACACCAAACCAAACTGTGGCAGAATGCAAAGCCCAGAGCACTGCTGCTTTTCCTGCCCTCTCCCAGGTTTAAGGAGAAAACAAGGTGTTGTACACAGAGAGGTTCTGCTGCTTCCTCCCCTGCCTAGTTTTGGTGCTCTCAGCAGTCAGGGCTTGTCCTGTGTCTGACCCAGCCCCAAGGTGACCTCCTTGCTTTTTCCTAATCCAAAGCCTTGCAGAGTGAGCTCGAGGTGCTCCAGCTGCAGAGGAGAGGAGGATGTGAGCTCCCACCACAGGTAAAGGACACGGAGCCAGAAGAGAGCTGAGAAAACACAAGAGCATCTCCTGCAAGCTCAGGGTGTGAGAGCAGGGAAGGCAAACCCAGCTAACCCTGGTCTGACTCACAAGCAGCTCTGTAGAAAAGTTACACAGTGCTATTATTTCCAGACCAAATCCAGGGGTTTTGGGCTGCAGGGCAGTGAGGCCCTTGGCCTCCACCACAATCCAGACAAGCAAACAAGACCAAAGCCAAAACCAAAGCTGCCAAACCCAGCTCCCCTCCCCTGCCAGCTGTGCAGGCAGCTCCCACCCAGCCAAGACCCCTTCAGCACCACCACCTACCTCAGGGCAAGAGGAGACAAATTCAGGAGAAGTTCAGGGCAACATCCACCTGCTCCATGCCACGGGAATCCACTGACACCCCTGGCTGCTCCTCTGGCATTGGGTGCTCAGAGGATTTGGGAACCCCTGCACACACAAGACCCTGCTCCTGCTGCAGGTGGAGATTTGCAGGTGGTGGAGACGATGGAACTCCAGAGCAGCTCACAGCTCCAAGCACCACACCCTGCCCGAATGAAAGGGTGATTTGAGGGAAATCAACCCCAAACCTACCAGGTTCTTACTGAATTGAGTGGTGCACAAGGGTGAAGCCAGCTCAGAGCCAAGCTGGAGCTGCCCAAGTGTAAATAAGGGCACAATTTGATTCTGCCCACCCAGCCACAATTCAAACACCTTTTTCTCATCAGCCTTCAAGTTTATTAAGAGAAAACTCAAATGCAATGTGCATTTAACTTCAGGTGCATGTGCACTTCTTTTAACACTTTCTTATTCAACAATCTCCTCCCCTCTCTCTTTCCCTAACCACTCAAGCAATCAAGCCCTATCTGCTACAGATGGTGAAGCTGAAAGAAAAAGGCACTCTAATATTTTTTAAAAATCACTTTATTCATCATAACCATTTGTAGTGTTTCATGCCCAGTTAATACAGGCAGCAATGAGATTTCCTGATGCCTCTCACCTATGTGCTGTTGGCTTTTTTTTTCTATTATGAATTTGCCAATAGTCCCTATTAATTCCTACGTGACAGTCAGCCAGGAGAAGGTCATGTACTTTCCCTTCATGCACAAGATCATTCCCAAACTTGCACTCTCTGCATCATTCTGAGTCATTTTCATCCTCAGGGGTTTCTTTTCTGTTTAAGTTGACATTTGCCTTAAACCTGATTGCTCTTCCAAATAGTTCTCATAACAAAAATCAGGTGGGCTTTGTTGTTATTTTATTTTAATCTAATAAATGTTTGTAACTTCATGCTCTCTGAAAAATCATGGTTAATTTGATATTAGAGCCTTCCTATCATCTTTCAGAAGTGTTGAAAAAAGTATTGCAGTGAAATTGAAGTGTTTGATAATTGCCAGGGAGGAAATAAAAATTCTGGTTTCAAAAGTTACCTTCACTCCAGAAATTAAATACTTTGGGGCTGATTGCTCTTCCAAATAGTTCTCATAACAAAATCAGGTGGGCTTTGTTGTTATTTTATTTTAATCTAATAAATGTTTGTAACTTCATGCTCTCTGAAAAATCATGGTTAATTTGATATTGGAGCCTTTCTATCATCTTTCAGAAGTGTTGAAAAAAAGTACTGCACTGAAATTGAAGTGTTTGATAATTGCCCGGGAGGAAATAAAAATTCTGGTTTCAAAAGTTACCTTCACTCCAGAAATTAAATACTTTGGGGCTGATTGCTGCTCTCCTACAATCCTTTGTATGACTCACTACAGCCCAAAGTAGGTGCCCTCAATTCTGCATTTACAAGGCATCAT